ACCCCTGTTGCCGTCCGATCTGACCCGAACGTGGCGTGATGATTAACGGGTTTGGGTGGAGTAATTTTCTCTCCACCCGATAAATCAACCAGTAATATTGTTCCGATTTTTATGCATGGCTACGGTATAACAACCTCACATTCAACAATAAAGCCAGTTTTAAAATCCGGTCGCCGGCGTGCAACCCATCTCATCGGGACTCACCAGATTTTATTCGCCGGCCGCCGCCTAAATCCATACCCGATTGGATCTGAAGCATGGATGCATGATACTACAAGGTACTCATTCCGGGACGGGATCGGAGACACTTTTTGATTGGATTCTTATCTAATCAGAATTCTTTGCAATTTACAGCCATGCTACCTACTCCGTATGCCCCAGTCCCTTTGCTTGCATGTGAGCAACAGCTGAAGATCCAGACGTGATGACGGGAATCAAGGCTGCTGGCAAGCTAATCACGCCACCACAAATGTAGGAAGCCCATCGTCGCATTGGCCGTTGGGTCGTATTCGCCGACGATTTGTCTGTCCGTCCGCAAAAAAAAAATGGCGCCATTGCGGCCGTCGTCGATGGGCCGGCGACTCCTGCATCGATTCTATTTCTAGAATACGCAGCTCTCCTGCATTTATTTCAAAAAACATTCTATTTCTAGAACGTGCCCAGGCTATAACTACCTGTGACACCACCGTCGATGGAAATTTGCAAAGTTCTTATGTTATACTAGATCAACGTATGTACATGCATGAGCATGCACCTCCACGAGTCCAAGAAGCTAGCTAGCACATACACTTTGATTTTCTAGCGTGTATATATGGTTACTTGAAGATGTATATACTTTTTTAGGAGAAAGATGTATATACTTTTAATGCAAAAAAATTGCTAATTGGCGTGCAAAACTCGTCAGTTGCCATACTCCTAATTTTGGTACACTCCTAACTTGGATATACTCCATACTTTTTTTTTGTGGGAACATACTCCATACTTCTTTTTGAGATACCCCATACTACATACTACGTACATCATAATTTTTCATACATATACTACTTTTTTGCGAAAAACAAACATACTACTTTCATTATTAAATACCATATACTCCAAATTTTCTTATGAAAGGCCATATACTTTATACTTTTTTAAAAAGTAATATACTCCATACTATATACTCCATTTTTAAGCACACATACAACATCAATGCATGGCCATAAACATTAGCAATGGGATAAAAGGAGTGCATGTGCGCAAGAGTATTAGACCTACAAACATATACAACATGCTTCCACTACTATAGTCCGAACAATTAGCGTCTCGCCATGGATATATATATACACACATACTCTAGTAATATACATATAAATTCACACTCATAATCACAAAGATACTATTTCCCAGTAATATACAACATTATATTATATTTCCATACAATATGCAGAGTACTACATATTACTCCCTCCGTCCGGAAATACTTGTCGAAAAATGCATAAAAATGAATGTATCTAGAACTAAAATACATCTAGATACATCCATTCCTCCGACGAGTATTTCCGAACAGAGGGAGTATTTTGCAATCTAAATATATATTCGGTGCTAACTTGACAATCTAAATATATGGAACTTGTCATCTTATGATTTTAGGTAAATATTTGCTCAATTTGTCGCCGCAGATGATTTAGTATCCTATTTATTGAATAAAAAAGTCAACACGGTCACATGTGTGCCCATTTGAGAACAAGCATTTCTGATTTAAAAACAGAAAGGACCACATTACTCGTAAATTCCATATGATGTGTCACTACATACATATGGAACATGTGTCTTACATATCGTTTTACATTTATGTGCATGTATATAAATTATTGCTGAGGGACCTCCTTGATTCAAATGAATTTCAGAGATATTTGGGGTTTTGATCCTTTGGAACATTCAGTACAAACATTGTTTGGTTTGTAGGATTATAAACCTTAGGATTGTTTTCTTGTGGGCCACCACTGTCCATTTAATTACAAGATAATTTTCACCGAGTCCAAACACTCAGATATTTTTATTTCTATGATTCCTAATTTACCATGGCATGCACGCCTGATCCCTACAGAAAAATCATGCATTTGTCATGTGTTGCAACCAAACAACATAGATATATTGTTTATTTCTCGTGTTTTCAAATATTTGCTGGATACATGATCATGGCAACCGATTTTTTTCCCTGTTCCCATACTAGTGAATCCTTCGAAGTGCTCCCAAGAGGCCCTTTTGTAACTCTTGCTCTGTTTGCGCAGAGTACACAATATGATTTATTTACCTGACATATTTTTTAGAAAAGGGTTTACCTGACATATAACTACACAAAGAAGGGACTTGGAAGGGGAAAGAAATGTCATTTAGGCTTGCAAATTAAGTCTACGATCCCACATGTATGTGATTTGTTTTAATTGAGTGGTTCCTTTGGTTAATTTGATAGCATCGTATATGTATATTCCAACCAGCTCTTATAAAAAGTAATTACGATAGCAGCAACGCATCCGAGAATAATGCCCAGGCTCCAGTCCCGTCTCGACGGCGTCCATGGCGGCGTCGAGGAACCTGTGGGCTCGGTCTCCCGTCTATCATTCTGGTCGATGGTTTTAGGTGTTCGCCTGATGGCTGGCGTTATGCGCGATGTCACCGATGGGCGAGTGAAAATGATGGTTCCAGATTTGGGCTTGTGGATTGAAGGCGGTGTTGGATCTGGTGCTTGGCCTGGACAACGTCGACGGCCGACGATGGCTCCGGGATTCAAGGAGAATGGGGACAATCCCTGGTCGACACGCCACAACGACAAAGGCTTTGCCGATGGCAAGCTTCTTCATTGACTCACAGCGCCCTCATGGGCTATGGTTCTCCTTCGAATCCAGCAACATTCAGCGGTGACGACGGCTATTGCAGAATTAACTAATGATTCCTGTGTATTTTTCTTCCCTTTGTTTTTTCTGCAAATTTCTGCGGAAATGTGTTTGCTCTCGACCCTTCTGATCGGTACCGCGTGCGTGCGTTATATTCATCATATTTGTGATCAATGAAACACGTGGTTACCCTAAAATAAAAACTAATTAAGAAGACACCTGACCTAATTTTTCTTCCCTTTATGACAGCGATCTGTGACAGGCTCGGCCATGGAATCTCGCATTAGAGTTAAGCTCCAATGCGCCCCCTTGCTGCCTCTGATGGTAGCTCATCATGAAAAGATCGCACTGCTACACTAGCTAGTTCGGCTATGAATACGGTCAAAGTAATTGCTCTGTTGTTCCTCTTGTGTTGAAGCATGCACGACGATATCCTTTGGGGGGTAGCGTACCTTACTAGTGATAATTAATGTCTTTT